GACTCTTTCTGCAGCTTTATTCTACTGCTGCTTCTTAGCTCATTCTTGCCGCTGTCTTTCAGCCACACCCCTGATCTTCAGGTAGGAAAGATCTACACCTAGCCTTCTCGGACAAGAACGAAAAATCTCGGAGGGCCCATGTCCCTTGGTGGTCTAAAATCGATAAGAGCAGGCTTCAGCCGTCACCCGGGAAAAATTCAAAATTTCCTACCAACTGTAAAAGTGTATGGTGTGTCCCGTACGCCCATATGACCTTATGCCGTTGAGACCGCCGTAAAACACTTACCCCCAAAAAAGAATTCTTCGGAGATATAAAGAGGGAAACATGAGAGGTGAAGCTCTCAAGAGTAACTGTCTTTACTTTAATCGAATCAGTTGTCTGTGGAATGTTTGTTAGTGGCGTGATGCTCTGGTGTGGTTTACTTCTTGTTTCCTATCAAACATCTATCGTCCCTATCTCCCCTTCTTTTTTATTTTTGTTACTCTCTTGTAACACCTCTTATCTTCTGGCGCTCATATGACTTGCGAGCGCTGTAAAACCTCTACTAAAACAAAACTAAGGTTTCTGGCTGCTAGGTACGTTCAGTTTCTTTCTCTTTTCATCTGTACCTTCACGACCACTCGTCCCGAAATGTGGGCTTGGTTGGATATGTTATAATAGTTTGTGCCACATGCATTTCCACTCTTTTTGTGTTTCCATATTTCTTGGAATTAGTTTCTTCTTCTTTTTCTATACTAAAAGGAAAACATGATTTTTTCAAAATGTTCTGGAGCAATATTTAGGAGCGGGAATGGGGGATTTTTTGTGGGGTAGGGGTGTACGGAAGATGTTTTAATCCGTCAGTGAGTGGCTTTCTAGATTCAGAACCCCCCCCCCCCCCCATTATGTTGCAAAAACAACAACAATAAAAAGACCCCCCAAAAAAAGAAGACAAGTACAAGAAAAGGAACCCTCCCCCCCCCCCCCACCCAGTGTACATCTCCTGAAGGACCCCGCCCTCCCTCCTTTCATGCCAACGCAGAAACCGTTTACATTATTTCGCTCAGAGTGTGGGTTTTTTTATGAAGGCATCAAATTACCTAAAGTGCTTACCTTTTCCCAACGGTGTATTAAAACTTCCCTTATAAAACCGCACGGTGCCCACAGACGTCATAGAAATGAAAACACTATCGAATATAGGTATCATGCACGATTACACAATTTACGATCCATTAGCTGTCCGTTAACCGAATTTGTCTAAAATAGAGAGTCAGCTGCGTTGAAAAAATATGTGAAAATATTTTGTCCATTGGTCTGTCTAATGTGAGGAGCTACATTTTGAACTGGCCATAAAAGGCAGCCAAAGAACGGGGGAGTTTTACATTTTGGTTTCACAGCTTTTACCCAGAAAAAAATAACGAGATAGAAACGTGAAGAATGATGGCCTAGACCCGTTTGTCTTGATCTGGCTTTTTCCATTTGGCTCGGTTCTTTCGGAGATGGACGTTAAAACTAAGAGGTCCCGCCTTTTTGATAACCTAATAGTGTTGATAGGGGCGTTAAACCCATACCATTTCACCATTTTTTCAAAAGATTAGGTTTAGGCGAATAACTTTAGCTGTGCATTTCACTGTGGGCGTAAAAAACAATTGCAACAAACAAAGATGATTTGATGTCATAAGAATAAGAAAACCTTCCTCTATAACATACTGAAAATCAGCATTTCGGGGAAAATCCGTACGTATTACGCAAACGTTCTCGCGTCAGAGCAAGTAGGATAAACCGATTTGGTCGTACTATAAATTTTGATTTTCTGACAACTTTTAGCACATTTTAAAACAATTTCAGCCATGATTTCGAATGCCGATTTTTAATATGTCATTACACGCAATTTTATCCGTCAAACCAAATAAGTTTTTTTTGTTGCAATTGTTTTTACGGTCTACCCTTAACTTTCTTCCACTAATTGGTAAGAAGACAAGATCATTGCCTCCAGTTTTTGCTTTGAACATGATTCTATCAAGCTGTGATTAATCACGCCCGGAAAAGCTTCTACACGATCTTTTATCTTTGATAAAAAAAAACTCCCTGCAAAAGGTGCATGTTAAAATTGATTAATGTCTCAAGAAAGCAGTCGGCCGATTCTGAGCCGAAGAGCAGAGCAAAATGAGAAAAGGATGTTTGAAAACCTTAAGTTTCAGCACAGCCCAGAGTTTGTTTTCGCTGTGCAGTATAAGCTGTACAGAAGACTGTTGATGTTTTCAAGTAGGTTAAACGACTTAAACAGAGAAAACGTGTCCTTGTGACATTTTCGCCTAAGTTCTCTAAGTGGAAGGTGCCGGCACTGTGATTCTAGAAGGATATAAACCAACAAAAACTATTCTTACTGCATTTGTGTCCCTACGCTGTGAACTCAGGCGCTCGTTAATTTTTGGGCATGTGGAGTTTTTGTATCCCCCTAAAGGTTGTTCTATCGTCTTGCTCTAGATGGAAAAAGTACCCATTTATCTTCAATAGAAATTGAGATATTTCCAATTGAAGGAAGGTGGGGGTTGCATGAATTCAGAAATATATTTGCGAGAAAAGGGCCACCAAAGTTTGGTAACTTCCATAGTTTTAAAGTCCTTTGAAATAGAAAATTTACAATTTTGTGCCTTAATTTTTCAGGTTCTGGACATAATTATTTTTCCTTTGTTCAGTTTTAGACCTGGGGTGCCTCTATTTAATGCATTACTGTGAAGCTCTAAGTTACTCTAATAGGTATTGTCATATACCAAAGTGATGGGAATCAATAAAGGAATATGTTTATTAGGATCTAGCGCTCACATGACCTTATTATGCAGTTGCAAGCGCCGTAAAACCTCTACTAGAACACACGAAACTGCACAGGACACAGGCACAATCACTGGTGGGAAATATTATTTTCATAAAACTTATTTTTTTCTGCGGGAACATAATGTTCTCACTGGTAGTGCATAAAATGCCACTGCATTTGAAAATGAGCATTTCCATATCCCCATGCTTTTAAAAATCATTTTTCAGAATAGCGAAAAGGAAAGGAAAAGTTTGGATAACAAATTGCCACGAACATAGCTTTACATGGAAGCAACAAAAACACTATTTTTATTGCTATGGTTATTATCATTATTTCCGCTAAGCCCGATCAAAATGATTACTCAAAAAGTATGACTTGAATATTTTCGAGAGCGTTTAATTGCTTATCATTCCAGTTTTCTAAAGCAAATGCCGAAAATCATTAATTTTTAAGCGTACAAAACAAACAAGGCTGACAGAAAAATAGGTGTCTCTATGATTGAGAAACCAGCCCAATTTTTCAGTTGTCTAGCTTTTCATAATATTGAAGTCTATTCCCTTTGAGCGCAATGCCTCACTAAACACAATTAAAAACTGGAAAAGGCCGAGAGGCGGGGCGATTTTCCAGTATAATAACTCTTTTCTGATGTAAGGATAACAGCAACAGTAAGCCTATGTCTCCTTTTGCAGGACGCGACGTCGCGTAGCGCTCGGCAGTCGCTAGCGATGACTCTCGAGTTGTATATATCCTTATGTGGGGGCTCTCGTGGCCTAGAGGTTAAAGGTATTGGCCTCTCATTCAAAGGTCCCGGGTTCGAATCCGGGTAGCGACCGAAAGAATTTTCTTCTCTAAAATTGTCTCCTTTCACCTCCTTTCCTGCTCTCTAGCAATGTTCTGCTGTCTGCTTTCGTTTCCACTTTCTGCCCCCACCCCCTCACCTCCTTTGCCCCCTCCTCTGGGCTCTTGACTCTTTCTGCAGCCTTTCTACTGCTACTCCTTGGCTCCTTCTTCCTGCTGTCTTTCTGCCACACCCCTGATCTTCTGGTAGGAAAGATCTACACCTAGCCTTCTCGGAAAAGGGCGAAAAATCTCGGAGGGCCCGTGTGCAAGTTGCGCACATTTAAGATCTCTTGGTGGTCTGAAATCGATAAGAGTAGGCTTCGGCCGCCACCTGGGCAAAATTTCCTACCAACTGAAAATATTAGGTGTGTCCCGAGCACTCATATGACCTTATGCAGTTGCGAGCGCGGTAAAAACACTTTACAAAACAAACATATATCCTTATGTGCGACCACATCACATACCACTCTCAGGGTGCGTCGACTGACACTCCTCGGCTAGGTATTTTGACCAGTGGCGATGCTTTAATCCTATCTGTACGTCGCGTTTTACTATCGTATCCATACGACGTGGGGAACTCTGTGCCAAACGGGAAATTTACTCGTTAATCCAATCCGTACGCTTTGTACAGCAGTCAGTCAAAATGATTTTTTTTAGAAATACTGAAAGTTTCAAAGAGATCTAAAATGTACAAAATGACCCCAGGCCGTACTGATATGGTTAAATCTGTCACGCCCCCAGTTTGTCGCTGGCGACGAGGTCTCGATCGCTCTATGGACTGATAGCAGACAACGGTCGCGGGCGACACGACGTCACGTCGCGTGTAAGGAGACGGATTCTTTTGTAATTTTACTTGATTGAATTTGGAGCAGCAAGGACGCGCGCGACGCGACGGCATTAGGAGACATACTCTTACAAAAATCATAGCTAGAATTAAGGCCATCTGCTGTTAAAATAGAAAAGCAGTAAACAAGATTAGAAATTCAGTAATCAGAGAAATGGGGGGAACAAATGATCTCATGCAACATATCCAACACCAACGAGTCAAATGGTTCGAACATCTCATGCGATTACCAACACACCATCCAGCACAACGTGCCTACATCAAAAACAAAAAATTCGATGGCAACAAGTCTAGAGGGCAACCGAGAAAGACTTGGATAGATGGAGTCAGGGAAACACTAACCACTCACGGCATCCCCCTGACCCAAGCTTTCCGGCTGGCGACAGAGAGACGTCTCTTTCTTCCCCCGACACCCAAAAGGGTATAAGCGGCGGATAAAAGTAACAGTAAAAGTAAAGCTGATAAAATTTCTAAAATCCGTGTCCTAAGACATTGAACTGTTTTTTCTTCTGTTTCCCCAGAGTGGGCCGTCGATGGACATGTTTAGTCCTCCTCGCAATGTCGGCGGTGTCTGCCTTCGCCTGCATGGCTGTGAACATTTCAGGTGAGTGATTTTTATAAATGTTTGTTCGTCTTTTTAGCATAATGAAAATAGTATGATCGTGTGCGGTTGCGAGCTCCGAAAGACTCTTACTAAAAACACGTCTGATTTTGTAGTGGTGAAACCTGTTGGCGCTTAAATGACCAAAATTGTGTCGATAGTGCCGTAAAACATCTATCCAATCGTCAGTCATCAGGTGAGTGACCTAGTGGCGTCGTTGGCCTAGTGGTTAGAGGCTCTCGGACTCGCAACCGTGGGGTTACCTGGATACCTGAATATCTGGATACCTGGATACCTGGAGGTGTCATCACTGACTCAGAGGTTGACGTGTAATGACCCTCCATCTTTCTCGGTCGCGAGCTGCCGCTGCACATTCTGCCATATCCAGGCCAGTCGTTATTTCTATGTTGTCCATCCATGTTAATCTTTGCCTTTCTCTGGCTCTTCTGACATGAGGTTATGATTTTGAATTCCTCCTAGGACCCTACTTTGTGTCCCTGGGAAAGGCACTGTACTCGAATTTTCCTCAATTCACCTAGATGGGAAAGGATGGGTACCCGGCTATAGACAGCGAAAGATATTGTCTGTTTGTAAGTGTTTGAGCGCATGCAATCCGCGACTTGCACTGTATGCTTTCTGAGTGTTCTTTGCTTTTCTCTAGCACCCAGGTAACAAAATGTATTGACTATGTAATTAACTCCTATAGTTTGTCGTGTTTACGTATTGTTTATCGCGATACGATAGAAAAAGACGCTCGTAAGTTCTTGTGAATGATTTTGGAGTTATTGGGATAGTCATAAAACGTGTTTATTTGTGTTGCCTTTGATCTAAATAATATCTATATATCTAAGTAGAAGTCAAGATATTTACGATTAAAGAAAGGGATGGAGGGGGGGGGGGTCCTCTAGTGTCAAAAGTAAAATAAACTTGTAAATGACTTTCAAAGTTTGTGGACTTCCAAAGCTTGAGTGTCCTTGGAAACGGCAAATATACATTTTTGTACCTTTGATCACAATTATCACAGAAAGGTGTTTTTAAATGGAGATATAATGGGTTGACACCCCCGCTCCCCACCCACCCTGAAAAAAAATAGGGGAAAAAAACCCAAACCAAAAGCGAAGGCAATTTTAGAAAATAAGAGAGAATCTCCCCCCTCCCCCAGATCGATGCAAATCGCCCAACATGCAGGCAGAAAAACGCCCGTTTCTTCCTTTCATTGTTCTTCTGAGCGCCTGATTTCACCAACGATTGGACACATAATATTATCTTTATTATTCCTTGTATATCAATTCGTTAATTAACTCCCTCTTGCAGATATTGAGGACAAAGGTACTGTGACGAGCGGACTGAGTCTTGCTGCCAAAATGGCCGCCGCTGCTTGCTGGGCCGCCGTGCAGACCTGGGGGACTGAGATCTACCCAACTGTCACCAGGTACACGATCATAATACAGTCGAACCTGCTCTAACAGCCACCTGTCTTAGACAATCACCAGTACAAACAGCCACTTTCCATTTCCCCACTGCATCTTTGTTAACATCATGCTATAATAATAGGTGGGGCCAAAGTTCTGCCCACAAAGGCTTTTTTGTGACAATACCAATCGTTTCGGAAAAATACACATTACACAAACGTGGGGCTATTTTAAAAGCTTGATAAGCGCTGTGTCATTAAATCAGTTTCTGAAATAATTATCACATTGCCTTCGAAACCTGCATTTCTGCCATAATGTGACCGGCAGACGTGTTTTTGATTGACCCACATTTAATTCGCTATAAAATCCATGTTTTACATGCTGGCGACCTGGATTTTTTTCACACACTCCCTCACACACGCCCACTCCAAAACACACATACGCTCACGATTGCGAGCGCACCGGCATATACCCTTTCACACACAATATTCACACACATATGCACATACACACACACACACCAACACACCCATACACCTTTAAACACACACGTACACACATGTACAACCCCTCCCCTCCCCCCCCCCCCCCCCCCCCCCCCCCCCCCCCCCCCAACACACCTTCTCTCATATCACACACAAAAACACATCACACCATACTGAGTGAGTACATAGTGTAATACACACGATGCAATCCGAAGATTTAAAAACATACATAAATAGAAACACAATCAGTCGTATAATACTGTACTGCAAAATGAAGCCACGGAGTCAGAGAGGTTTTAATAAAATGTGTCTTTTTATAGTTCTAATACGCCTTACATCTAGACCTCGATTTTGAGTGTCTCAGAGGATGCGAAAGGAAGTTCAAAACTGATAGAACGATATAGGCGAGGGATCTTTCAACTATTTCTTTTTAACCATCTTTCCTGGAAGCTCTTAAAAGACATTAATAGCCTGATCTTCGTGATTTGGAGAGAATCTATAAGTAAATCGAGTCTCTCCACCAGTTTGCTGATTCATTGTATCCCTATTAGCTGGTGTCGATGCTGGGGAGTCATTTAACCCTATCCGTACACCCTGGAGTCATTTTGTACCCCCGGGGTTGTATTCTTCACATTTCAGAATACTTCTAGTGCGAAGATCTCTTTGAAACTTTCAGAATTTCTTGTTAAAATTTTTTTTTGACGGACTGCTATGCAAAGCGTACGGATCGGATTAACGAGTAAATTTCCTCTCTGGAAACTGGTGGCACAGAGTTTCCAACGTTATATGGTTACAATAGTAAAACACGACGTACGGGTAGGGTTAAAGCATACCACCTTCAAAGTAATATGAACAGTGTCAATTCAGGTAGAAAAAAAATCCCATTTTCAATCATTCTACGATCATTCAGTCAGCGTAACTGACTAAAGAGGGGCCAGTTTGTTTGGATTCCTTCTGATGCAGCTTGCTTCATTTCCTCCCAGGACCTTGAACTGTTTTGCTGACATGAGCTATAACGTACTTTTGTGGCCGTTCTAAGGGAAGAAAAGATACACAAAATGAAAAAAAAAGAAGAAAAATAAAGCGG